GATGCTCTAATAGTAGAGTTATCAGATATATCTTATGTATGTACCACGGCAGATAGTTGGACACATCACAGAAGGTAAAAACTTATTTATATTTATAAATTGATCTGATTAAATATTTTTAGAGCTCATTTGGGAATCACAGGTCATTGGTTAGACCCTAGGACTTTAAAAAGAAGATCTGTAGCCTTAGCCCTTAAAAGGAATATAGGATGCCAGACATATGACTTACTTGAAAATAAAATTATTGACATCCACAAGTCTTTTAGGATTCATAATAAAGTTTGCAAGATGGTTACTGATAATGGGTCTAACTACCTGAAGGCATTTAGGTTATATCACAAATTTATTTATAATATTTATTTTAAGTTATGATTTTTTTGGCAGTAAATTAATCAGAATGGAATGGTTATTATTTAATCTATAAAATATTTAGTATTTTAATATTTCACATTTTTTATAGAATTTTTATTAACTAAATATACACACATATTTTAGTAATATTATGATTATCATAATTTATATCAAATTATAAATAAAATTAGTGAAATTAACTAATAAAATATAAAACAGAGGTGGATTATTTCATTAATTTTTATTGTACAGTGTCATTGAGCTAATCTAACATTTAATAAGATATGGTTATTGAATATTTCATGGATGATTAGATTTTTACTATATTTATTTCTTATTGATTAATTGCCATCAATTTATATACAGTACAGGGAATTCATTCAATGTATTCATTTATAAAATATTTTTGCTTAGTTACATTATAATTCCTGAGGTTCAAAATTTAGAATACTAAGAAATGATTTTTCCACACCATTTTCGATAAATATTACTAGACATTTCTATTAAAACTGGTTGAATAATTTAATTTGTCCCATTTAATATGAATATAGAATATTTGGTGACGATAATGCTGAAGATGAGATACAGAATGATAGTCAACATGTATTGGAAGAGGAGGAAATAGGTGTTGATGCCAATGATATTAATGAGATCTTAGAAAAAGGTTTAAATTATTTTATAATACATGTTAATCTAATCAATATTCTATAAGATCTTCAACTAACTCCACAATGTTACCCAGCCATCAGAGATGCTCCTGTCATAATTTAAATTTGATAGCAACAGTAGATGCTGAAGGAGCTTTAAATGATGAAGATTTTAAAAGGGTGTCAAGATCGACATTTTATAAATGTCAAACTTTATGGAATAAGCAGAACAAATCTCCTAAAAGTTCTGACATGTTTAAAAAAAATTAGGGAGGTATTTATTAACCCCTAATCGTACAACTGGAGGAAAGAAGATTAGAGATTAATTATCTCTGTGATCTTGTTGAAATTGAATATATTAACGATGAAGAGCATACTTTTACAAAAGAGTATACAGAAGTAATTCTAATTAATAATGATTCATTTCTATATCAAATATTTATTTATATTGCTTATTTTTTTATAATCTAAACTAACTATATTTTTATATTTATAAATGTTGATTTTTATATATTATTTATTATACATTTACATTATAAGCAAAAAAAAAATAAAAAAAAATTGTTTCTAAATTTTTTTTTATAAAAAGTAGCTTAAAAGTAGCTACTTTTGAAAAAAAGTAGCTAATAGCGCGCTACTTTTTTTGACAAATAGCTATAGCGGTAGCGCGCTACTTTTAAAAATAGCGTTTAACAACTCTGCATATTTCATGAAATTTAAATATTTACAATTACAAAACATATTTTTATCTGTTTACTTTAAAAAACTCAAAAAAGTTCAAAAATAATGAGACAATTGTCACTTTTCTATGATACATTTTCAATGAAATTTTAATTTAATAGGTTTATAAAACATATTTTTACCTATTTACTTTTAAAAAACTCAAAAAGTTCAAAATAATGATTATGACAATTGTCACTTTTCTATCATACATCTTCACTGAAATTTTAATTTAACATGTTTACAAAATATATTTTTACTTATTTGCTTTAAAAAAATTTAAAAATGTTGATAATTAACGATTATGACAATTGTCACTTCTCTATGATATATCTTCACTGAAATTTTAATTTAACATGTTTACAAAACATATTTTTACTTATTTAATTTAAAAAAACTCAAAAAAGTTCATAAATTACGATTATGACAATTGTCACTTTTCTATGGTACATCTTCACTGACATTTTAATTTAACATGTTTACAAAACATATTTTTACTTATTTACTTTAAAAAAACTCAAAAAAGTTCAAAAATTACGATTATGACAATTGTCACCTTTATATCCTTTACAATCACTGAAACCATCTTGAAACATGCTCAACTAGCTTATTTTAATTAAAATTATTTTTAGGGTTAGGGTTAGGTTCTGAGATGAGTACTTTTATACTTTACATTAAATATAAAACATTAATTATGACAAAACACCAAATAATAAAAAATATGTAATTAAATTCTCACATTTACAACTTATGAAAAATAATATTTTTCTAAGATCAAAAAATAAAATAAAAGCATATATCTCAAAAATTTTATTTTAAAAAAATCACAAAATATTTGTACAATAGGATCAAAAATGTTTTATTATAATAAAGATTTTCTTACTAAAGATTTTAGTATATTATAAAATTACAAAAATTTTTTCTCTTTTTACAAAAATTTTTTTTTATTTTGCTCTCTTCTTTGAGCAAGCTCAAATTTATTTTAGCGGAAAAATTTTCGTAAAAAAATTAATCTTCAAAGATTTGTTCCTCAAAATTTTGGGCGAAAAAAATCTTCAAATTTGAAGATTTTTGTTAAACCCTGGTTTAGGAGGGTATGATTTTTTTTTAAATTTGTGACAGGCTACTAATTAATGTGGCAGAACCTGGAAATCATGTTGTGGATCTATTTTTCGGTTCAAAACTTAGCATTCATTGCACAGGTAGAAAAATATAAAAAAAATAGGTGGGGTACCCTCAAACCTCAATTTAGAAACACTATATATTAAATTATTTAATTACTAAGGTGTTGTATAGCATAGATTGTAATTTATTTCATTCATACATTATATTCCATCAAGTAATTTGTATTATAATCAATGATTATATTACATTAAATAATTAACTCGCCAGAGGGCATATGCGCTATATATCACGGAATAATTAACTCAATTAATTTAAAGAAATATATATATATATTTTAAATTTATTAGAAGTAAAATTGTAAAATTTAAATAAAATTACTTTTTTCTATAACTCCTTACTTACCCTCATTGCATGGTGGCCACGGAAATTATCCTTTTAAAATTTTCTTTTAATTTTTTTCTTTAATAAATTAAGATTAGATTATGGGCAACGGAATTGTTACACTAAATGGAAATGAATATGATCAAACTAGATGAATCAATTATGGGCAGTGGAGTTGTTAGACTAAATGGAAATGATTATGATCAAACTAAATTAAAGAGGATTCTAAAAGATTATATTCATTGAATTCTAATTATCATAACAGATTGGATATATAAAGTTTAAAAAAATATTTATGAAATAAAGATATTGTAAAAAAATAAAAATAAAAATTGATAAAGAGATTAGATCAATTAATAAAAAAATATAATACATATATTATTTTCACATAAATATAAATATAATAAAAAAATTTTTTTATAAAAAGTAAATTAATTAAATTTTTTTGATGTCCAAGACCATTATCTTGTCTTTTCCGGAATATATTCGTGGGCTGAGAATTTTTTTAAAGATAGTAAACTCAACAGTAGATGTGAGGCTATGCTATTAACTATTAATTTACCCGATAACATCTTTAGTTTAGTTAGGGCCATATCGACAGATGAGGAGTTTCAATCTTCAGACGCCTTACTGAAAAGGATCAAGCTTTTATTTAATATTAGACAGGAAAATTATCATTATAATGATTATAAAAACAATGGTATAAATCTTATAAATAAAAATATTAATAAACATAAAATTAATATATATAAATTAAATGAAATTCTTGTTGATTACTTATCATTTAAAGAAATTTTAATATCTAAAGAAAAAAATGATAATAATATAAATATACCCTTAAGATCACATGGTGTAATCTCAAAAGAATATAATGATATAAATCTTAATATTAAAAAAGTTAGTGAAAATATATTATATAAAGAAATTTCAGTAACTAAAGAAAACTTTGATAACGTAAATATAACACATAATATAAATGAAGTAGATAAAATTCATATACATAAAATTTAAAATAAAATAGAATCAAATCGCATTTAAAGGTGACACTTACAAGTATAAAAATATCAAGAGAATAGACAACACAAAAAAACATTTACCTTATATAATTAATGATAAAGTGAACAAATTTTCCAAATATTAAATTTTAAAAACTCTAAATTATGTTTTAATTACCAAACATATGGAAGTAGTGACAACAAATTATTTTCATTGAAGAAAAGAAAACAATAATATTGAGTTATTATTTGCTTTAAAAAACAAGGGCACAAAGTTTAAATCTCTAAAGAGAGAGATGGATGTACAGACGTACATACCATCATTTATTAAAAAATACATATAATATAAGATTTATTTTTTAAAAAAAAGGCGTAATTAAAATAAATGTAAAACCATATATTATGAAATCTATTTAAAAAACGCGAGATTAAAATAAATATAATATGCTACTATCAAAATGCTTGTAAAATATTTAGAAAAATATATGATTAATAATATATTTCACTAAAAACTTTAATTTATAAATAAAATTTTGACTTAATATGACTCTGAGATCCTTAGAAGATAAAAGAGGGTATTCTATGATGCAAGAATATATGTTCCCTGTTAGTTAATCAAATACGATTGTATATTTTATATGATTATATTGTAATGTCAAATTATTAATCATTAAATGTTTATAAAATTAAGTACAAGTTGATGATGTCATTTATAGTAAAAGGACGTATTAATATTGTTATAAGTTTCTTATCTGACAGAAATCAAATATGATTAATAACTGTCAGAAGATAATTAATCTCTTGGCAAAATATAGTAGATTCGATGAATCCTATAACAAATTATTTAGAAAAAGTTAAGAGGTTACGAACTATAATTCAAGCTAATGGGGGCTTATTAAAATCCTTGGTTAAAATTTATTAGTGAGCTTCATTAAATTTATAGTTTAATATAACAATTTTTAGCACTGATGATTTAAAAGAGGGCAGGCTTATTGGAAAAGATCAATTTGGAAATGAATATTTTGAAAATAATTCATACTTTTTTGGTATTTATATATCGATTGGCTATTTACTATTATTATTTAGGACGTAATCGATGGGTTGAATATACTCGTAAGGTTGGCTTAGATTACAATGCAACTCAAGTTCCTCCTGGCTGGTATATATTTTTTTAATATTGATTTAAGATTTTATTCTTATATACATGTAAATATAAGTATGCAAAGCCAAATTTATATTCAACCATAATTAAGCTTTTTTTATTTACTGTATTCATTGGTAGTTATATTGACCAGATATATACCTAATCTCAGAATAGAACTAATCTAACTTTTAAGACATTTTATATTAGATTATTTAACAATCGATTTAATATTTATAATAATATGTTTTCTAAGCCATTTTATTTGTACCTTATAACAATATATATTAATTTAATATTTATAATTATTTTTAAATATGCTTAATACTATTAATATAATTTTTTAATATTAAGAATAGTATTTTGATTGCATTTTTTTTGCCCTATATATTAAACTAAATAGATTGCTTTTGGGTTAATATAGGACAATAAACAAAAAAATATGCTAATATCCTAAGATATTTGAAAAAAATTAAAGGTTACTATTATTCAAAGAAAAAAATAATGACAACAATATGATTGATATATAAAATGGTTGTTGCTTATAGAAATAGGTACCCATTGAGTAGAGATATAAAAAACCTCAATTCCCACACCTGTTGATTATCGAAACTCATCTTTTTGATTTTTAATCACGATATTCTTTTTGCTCTTCTGCAACCTATCTCTTGGGTCTGGCTTAACCCTCTCAAGTTGGTATATGTCTTACTAACTTTTCTACTGGTGATTTTGCTATGGTGTGTGTTATTACAAATGTCATTAAGGTCAGTATTATCTTCTCTGATAAACCAATACTCTTTAGATAGCATGGTGTTACCAATATTAGTATTAGTACTTTTACAAAACAATTCAAATCCTGGGATGTAAATTATGACCCATTATCACTCACTAGTTGTTTTTGAATCCACCAATAAGGAAACCATTTCCTCAATTTACAAATCATTAATTAAGTTGTCAGTGTTTTTTTCCACTCATTTAGAATAGGTATTACGACCATCCAATAATATGAATCGTGTTGATGTCTCTATTTAAGTAATCTTACAAAATATACAAGCTATATTCTTCACTACCACCATGCCTGAATGTCCTTGGTGTGTGATTTTTAAAAGTCAATTTTGTTTTTTTAAAGGCATCACCAATCTACCATTCCAAACAATGATTTAATAATTTATCTCTTGTTATAAAATGATTTAACTCAGCTGAGAGATAATCCTTCGATACCACTCAACCTTGTTTAATTAAGTCAACTTCTTTTATTTGATTTTCTTCAATGCCTTTATCTTCATCCTGGGGAATTGGCAATCGTGATAATGCATCTGCAATTTGTAGGCGACCTTCATCTTAATGATAGTTATACCCTGAAAGTATCCATCTCTAAGCAATCGATTGTTAGATATTTTAGGCTAATCTCTCTTTCAAAAATTCTTTCTAGAGATTTATGTTCAGAATGTATAATAAAATGTATACCATATAAAAAAATTATTAAATTTATTGATTCCAAATACTAATTCTCATGCATTTTTGCAGGGTTATGCATTTGACAGATATGATTCAGTCAATATATTTGACCAGTCAAATATGGTCAAATTAAATGTTTTTTAAGACAATATTAACTCTATTTTATATATAATTGTAAAAAATGAATCTTTATAATATTATATTTTTAATATCTATAATTGATGTTTTGCTATCCATGGCAGAGTTTGTTCTGATAATGATTTTATTTATTATTTTTAATAAATCTTAGATTATGATATACCTTCCCAATTTTCTGGTTGTCAAGATCTTCAATCGATTTATTTTCTTCGTCTGAACATTACCCCAAACCGACCAATTTCTTTATGAAAAGAAAATACTAGGAATTGTTAGTAAGATATTAGACACTTCTTTTAATGTTTAAGGTGGGCAAAGCCCATTCCAACAACTTTGAAATCTAATTTTTTTTATGAAAGTTACTGCTTTCCTCATATTTTAGCTATTAAAAATACCGCTGCGTTTACTTCTGAAATTTGTAACACTTAAAATATTTTTATTATCATCACCTTGTAAAATGCTTAATTCTTTAAATCACATACTTCATCAAACTCACTACTATTAAGATGCTCCCCCTATATTGGAGATCCAATTAATAATCAGCTGTTTGGATTGTTTTTTCTTTTCAAAAGTATCCTTAATTTTTTTTCTTCAGATAGAGAAATTATAAAATTATGACATTATTGAATTGTGTTTCCAAATTAAGCATCTCGTTTTTTATTTGAGATAAAGTACATTTGTCCCTCCACACATACAACAATGAGTAGCTAAATGTTAAAGAATAGTTTGAAATTTTAAAATTTTATCCAAAATATTTCTTTATTTAATATATTATTGATATTTCCTTTCGGATAAATATCTACCTCCTTCAACAGCTGCTTTCAGAGCTTTCTTGCATATTTGTATTTGCTCCTTACAGTTTATTGACGATGCCCATCTTGCTTGAATAATTGTATATAATGTAATATAAATTGGCATAATAATTTTATCAACCCATACTTTGGCAAAATTATTATATTTATTTTTATATTGAGATCCAGTCAAATTATTAATGAGAAAAAATCTTTTTTTTATATTTTTTTTTCTCTTTAGATTTCACCTTTTCTGGTGGTAAGCTCCTTCAACATCTCTCTCCACTTTATGTTATTAATACAATCTCTTTTATCTAATTTATACTTCTTTATATTGGCTCTAATTTTATGGCCCCATTGAAGTTTTGGCCTTCCTCTTTTATGTTTGCATATCACTTCCAAACTCTTAACTTTATTTCCTATGTAGTTCATAGGCCTTCTCATTGTGTGCCCATACCACCTAAGTCTGTTTACCATTAACTTAGTCTTAATGGGCACTACCTTTAAACTACTTAGTATTCTTGTACTGCGCACTTTATCCTTTCTTGTTACCCCAGCAATCATCCTCAGCATTCTCATCTCCATGGTTGACTTCTCTCGTCTGATTCTTAGATTTGCCATGTTTCCGAACTATATAGAATAGTTGGTTGTATTATGGAACTGTAAATTTTCCCTTCAATTTGTGTGGGATTCTTATTCTTTTATCAAATAGCACTCCAGATAAAGATCTCCACTTTAGCCACTATCTCTTTTTCTATTGTGCCGTTTGTTTGTATAGTGGAGCCCAAATATTTGCAGCTTTCAATTGCCGATATCTGCCATTCATTTATATCAATACTCTCTGTTTCATCTCCTCCTATCACCATATACTCCGTCTTTTCTCTATTTACTTTTAATCCGTGCGTTTCTAGCAGTGGCGTAGCTACGGGGGTGGTTTTCGGGTTTGGACCCCTCCCAGAGCAAAATTTTTTTTAGATTATACGTTCAAAAGACTTAAAAGTTACTTTATATCAAAAAAATACCATGAATATTTATATTTTTCTATTTTTGATGTTCGTGGAAGGATAATATATTACTATTGAAATTATTCTGGATAGTATTATTATAAAATCATTGAGATAATCTAATAAATTATAATAATTGATTATTGATGCATTAACTATATTTATTATATAATATCGAAGATATTATTATGATTTTTAAGATAAATAAAGGGGGTCTGGGGGAGAAACCCCCCAGGGTCATTCCATGACAAATCAACCACGATTCGGCCGACCCCCTTCGATTTTTTTAAAATTTGGTAAGCAAAGAAAGGTCAATGTAACTAAGAAATAGCCAAAATTTTAGCCTCCTAACATTTATATTTTTGAAGATATTAGGGTTCAAAGTGGCAAAAATGACGTATTTTTACCATTATCTGCCTTCATTCAATTAAGCATATCTTAAAAACTACATAATTGTAAATAACAAATTTAATATCAAAATTACGTACAAAGATTCTAATTTTAGATAAAAAAAATTTATTTTTTTCCCAATTTCCGGTTATTTTATTAAATATATAAGGACTAAAAACAATTTTTCGAAAATAATACGACCTTCAATTTTTTTAAAAAATTTAGTAGACATTATTAAACTCTTCCTTTATATTTATAAAAAAAAATTAATCTGGGACGCGGCCATCTTCATTCTCAAAATCGATAAAAATGTTTAGAAAAGTGTATAAATATTTTCCCGATAAATATTAAAAAAATTGAAATAATTTAAATTTAAACTCACTTTCAAAAGATTCTAATTTTTTGGTAGCGCATTTACTTTCTTGTGACAACAATGTATAACTACGGCCAGTAGCATTTAACAGTGAAACTAATGTTAAGATAAGACATTTGGGCAAGTAAAGAGTGTCATCTATACTTGGAAATGTAAAGGAATTAGAAGGTCGGGATAGGTGTAAAAACTTTATATATATTTCTTCCTGCTTTTGATTTTTCACTAAAACAAAGCTAACCACCAATTAGAATAGTAAGGATACGTTAGGTATCCTGATATATCTTCAATAATTATACTTTCATCATTAAATGATAACTATTCTAAAGTACTTTCTATTGAATTGGAATACATTTAATTTTAAATTGATGTAGATCTGTTGGAATCAAGGTGTGTATTTTGTGTGTTCCAGATATAGATCTAGTTTTTGAAAATCTTTCCCTGAGTAATAGATCTTCGAATCATAGTCATCTTCAAAATATATGACATTAATATTTTCTTTAGCTAACTCATACAATTCATATGATGTGTACTTTGAGTAAGGCCTTGTAAACTAGCTCTAGCGGCTAATCTTTTAACAGTGCCACAATCCCATCACAAACTTTTTCCGTGTGCTGTAGCAGAAAAATGCCATTTCGCTTGTACCCCGAAATCCATCTCATGATGGCAAATATTAATAAAATTTTTATGATTTTTATACTGTGCAGCGGATCCACTGGAAAATAAAAAATTTTATTTGGCCTACAAATTTTATTAATTAAAAAATTTACCAATGTTTTTTTGAAATTATGTACTGCTATTGTATTGTGTTGCAAAGATTCGGATATTATTACATAATTTAGGCAACAAATATTGGCAAAATTATCTTTA